AGAGAGAGTGGCTGAGAGAAAGTGGAATGTGTTTACTCATATGTCCTGTCAAAGACAAGTTAATTATTTTAACATGTGTGTGTGTGTGTGTATGTGTGCCATGCCTTTTGTTTATTTTTGTCCATCGATTTTCACGCGCTCTACATTACAGCACACCCACTGGCACATAGATACACTCACACACACTCAGTCGCATGCGGAGACATAATCTGCATAATGAAAGATCCTGAGTGCTTAAAAGACTTGCTTGGCATATTCGTGGCTTCATTATGTGCTGCCTACTTTTCGGCTGCACAAGCGAGACGTACTCCAATTTGGGCATGATTTTACAATTTTAATTCGAAGCAAAGTCAAGCGGTTTCTATTAGAGTTTTGCTTTTTGAAAAATGAAAATTCAACAAACGAAAAGACACGAAATTTTTAATTAATTTCTAAAATATTTGAAATAGCCACGTGCTCAAGAGCTTAACTTAATTTATTAAATGCATTTAATAAATAAGAGTAATGCGAGTTATTTTTTAACCCATTTATCTAACACCTACCTTCTTCCAAAACCACTTCAAAATTCCAACAAAATTAAGTGAATATGCAAAGCAGAACAGCACCCTAAGACAATGGCACTTGCCTGTTGTTGGCTTTTGAGTTTTGATAAATATTTGCACAATATTTGTCAGAATTAATTAACAATATAAGGGAGGAACTGTCGGACAGAGAGGGAGCGGAAGACTGTGTGTGGAAAAGCTTTTCCCACATTCCTCTAGCTCTCTCTTTCAGTTTTTGTTTGTCTCAGCAGCATATTTCAAGTAAACTTTTTATTTCAGTCGAGAAGCACTTGTTTACTTGCCATCGCTTTGCATAAATTCGCTTTAAATACAACAAACCGACAAGAACAAATCTTGACAATTTAATTAAAATTTATGCAAGCAAATTTCTCTGACAAATAAACAAGAACATAAGTCTTAAAAATACGAAACACTTTTTAGGGTAAAGCAAAGGAAGAGAAGTAATAAATATTGTTGAAAAAATATACCGTAATAAACTGTTACTGAACACACAAAAATCCATTGAATATATCTTTATATATGTATGTATATGTATCCTTCCTAAATATCCTCTTGAGTACAAAGTACTTCCTTATACAATAGATTGAAGGCGCAGATAATTACCTTGGAATCAATTACCAACAAAGTTCCTTCCTTTATTTAAATATTTCGATTACCTTTTTGGCCATTAACAGCCCGGCAAATTACCTCTTTTCGATGTCTGCTCTCGACTAGACTACACTGTAATTCACACAACAATCCATCACAATCATTATTTGGCCATTTATCTTTCAAACTCGTGTATCTGTGTGTATCTTACGGCAAATCCTTGCTGCAGCCACTCTGGCTCCCCATCATCATCGAGAAAACCTGCTTATAATTACCCCACCAGATTACACATTGCCTAACAAGGCCCATTCATTAATGTCATCAAATTCTTGATGGGTACGGGTGCGGGAAAATGGTAATGAAGGAGAACAGACAGCAGCAGCAGCAACAACGTCTTTCATTTCTGTTTGAAAATCTGCAACATTATGTCGACACAGAGTCGGCAAATGGAAAATGGCTCAACGTTAATGACAAATCCCCAGGCTTCGCAGACTCCCCCCAGGCCTTCTGCCACCTTATCCAGCTACAACACCAATTCGGTCCATCCACAAAGTTGCAGTTGCTGCAAATGCCATAAAAACCAAACAGAAACAGAAGCAGCAACAGCAGCAGCCGGAACAATAAAAACAGAAACATCTAGAAGCCGGTATGTCCACGGGTTCTCTTCGGTTTGATTGCTGGCGTCTGGCGCCTGGCTCCTGGCTTGGATTGTATGGGGTTTTGTGGGGTTTTGGGTTTTATGCGCTAGTTAAAATTTTCTCCACCGAAAAATGTGTGCTGCAGGTGCAAGCAATTTGATGACATTGGCCAGTTAACATTTTCTTACCCTCTCCCGAAAAAAATACTGTGAGGAAAATGTATGAAAAGGTTAATCAATGAAAATAAAAGAAAATGGAACATATTTTCAAACATTTATCTCGCCTCTAACTTTAGCTCAAAGATCGAAATGTGCAATACCAATCGTTGTTTGGAAAACTACATACGAAACTCCAGGGCAATTTTTTCACTGGTAATGCATACAATTCCCAATGGGTTGTGGCACGAAAGTGGACAACATTTTGTTTGTTCAGTGTTGAATGGCCTTCCCCTAACGGCAGCGGTGGGATGGTTGGTGGTGGCTGCTTTCGAGGCGCCACTCAACACCATCATCGTCGTCATCATCATCCTCAACGTGGGAGGAGGAGGAGGAGGAGGAGAACCAAACACTCGACAATGTCCTCTCTCTCTGTAACTTGAACAACTTTCAGGCTTCAGCCGGCAATTGGAGATTGCCTCTTCATGCTTGCAGCTCCCCGCTGCATGCTGCATGCTGCACACTGGCTGCTGCCTGCTCCACTTGGCTCTTGGCCAGTTCTGAGAGCGAGGAGCCTTACCTTTCCGTTCGTGTGCATTTCATGCTGTGTCCCTGTGTTTACAGGCTAAATTCATTCATTCTCCGAGGCCGCACAGCAGACGGACGTCTACTCCTGTCGTCAGCGGGCCATGTGATGATACCTCCAAACACGGGACACGCCACCCCTACCTTTGCTACCTTTGCTGCCATGGCCATATCAGATTTTGCTGTTGTGTGTGAGTGTGTGTGTGTTTTTGTTTCCTTTGTTGTTGGGCCCCTTGACAATGCAGTTACTGATGGGACAACGAGAGCCTCATCAGCATCATCAGGATCTATTGCCTAACATTGGTACTACTGTGTGCGTGTGTGTGTCCTAGTTATTCTAACGATACGATACGATACGGGCTAGTGGTATGTGTTTTAGTTTTAGCTTTAGTGCAGAGTCAGTCAACGTTGCATCTTTCGATTCAAGAGAACGACACTAATTTCCACTTGAAGATGGAAGCTGGAAGCTGGACGGAAGCCTGCACTAAGGATATAATCCCAAAACATTATGACTGACGTTGGCCATATCGTTTTCAGCCATTTCAGTCTTTCAAACAATACGGCTACACATTACAGACAGCCACTCCAGACGCCAGCGTTCGTGCAATAAGCGAGACTGCAACTGCTGACCATTGCTCGGCTCGGAGTTAAGTCGGATTTATGTTGATGATGCAGCCAAGTTATGGGGCGTTGTCTGGCGTTGGCTGGCTGGTCCTTCTAGTTCTGATCCTACTTTTTTTTTCTCTCAGTTTTGCAGTTGCCATGGCACATGTCCGGTGCTTGGGTGCTTTGGTGCTTCGGTCCTTAATTGACGTGCAGAGTCCGTAGCTGGTTTCAATTTTGAACTTGTCACGAGAGCTGTCTCTGCATTTTCTGCGGCTACCATAAAAAATATATATTTATTCTCTAGTCACAATCCCAAAAAAGACATAACAAAAAAGTAGCATTCAAAAAAGACAGAGAGAGAGAGAGAGGCTGACAGGAACAGAATAAAGTCCCAGCCAAAAAAAAAAGCAGAGTTCCAAAAATGTTTGTTAACTTTTCTGCAGCTTACTGCACATGTGACTGCGATTTCTCTGCACCAAATCTCTCTCTCTCCCATGAGCTCTGTCCAGCGTTTTAATAGCTAAACACCCAAGTACCCAAACCGAGTCCGAAAACCATCCAACATATGTTCGCATGGGTATGTGTGATGTGTGTGTGTACAAGTTTTGGGGTTTATTTTGACACATGTGTGATGTGATGGGCAGCAGCGAGTACATCTGGGTGCCATCCAGCAGAATAAAATGAAATGAAATGAAATGGAAAGCCAGCCACAGCCACATGGCGGCATTATGGATAAGTTGTGCAGATTCACATTTCAGCAGGGGGACAGGGGGATAGGACAAAACGATTTTCAACTGTCTGAAAAGGATGGAAAAGCTTTGGGGAATTCAAGGGTATTGTTTATTCAAGGGATACCAAAGCCATAACCCTTTTTCGAGAGATTATTGTGGCTACATTTTGGAACAGCACTTTTTTGGGTTTTTGAAATTGAAATAATGAAACGTTTGGGTCTGCATTTCATCACATTTTTAAATAAAAAGAAAAAAATTAAATGGGAAATGATACGAGTATTTTTTATACTGATGATAGATCTAAGCATATATTTAACTATTTATAAATTATATAAATCTAGGAAATATAGGTGTAATATATTTATTCATAGCTCAGTTAATTTGTATTAAGATTTAATAGGATCCATGATAAGCAAATCATTCGAAGAAAAACGATCCTTAGCTTTTCTGGTTCTGAAGTTAAACTAACCAATCATTAGATATCAAATTGATACATGTCCTTAAAGAGTTCTACCATAATGTATTGATATCCGCTGACTATAACGTATAGCTTCTATAGTCGAAATTGTCACAAATCAAACTTTTCTGTGAATAGCTCTTTTATTTGTACAGATACACTAACTAAATGTATACAATTTCAGTTGATTAAGCGTATAAATAAAGTTAATAAATATAATAAAAATAATGCTTATGATTCGATAAATATATCATATAGAAAGCACAGGAGAATGGGTCGAAAAACAAGTCTTTTTGTGAATATCTATTTCTTTATTTCTGCTTTATTTAATTAGAAATTTCCATTTTCTGACAATATCATATTTCTGCTATCGGTTGAAATCGGTCGAAAATGTAGTCTTTGTGTGAATAAAATTCTAGTTTATAGTATATACGATATACATAAATATATATTTGTAGTTCAGGTTCATACATATATATTTCATCGAATGAATAAAGAAAGAAAACCGTCTGCTAACCTCTCCTTTAAGTATTCCCCAAAAACTTGTGCAACATTTAAAACATTTAAGTGCCACAACTAAAATCTTAATCAGAATGCACAATATCTAACCAAATTGTTGAGCAAATAATTTGCTTGAATATTCATGAAGTTTTTTCTTTTGCTTCTTTTTTTTGCAGACTGCAATGGCTGCAAAAATGTGAACGAGCAGAAGAGCAGCAACAACGAGGCGAAATATATAAAATAAAACAAAGAAGAAGATAGGAGAAAGTAGCAAGGAAGAGGGGGAAAAATCATAAACAAGATTTCTGAAGATGCGAAGGCGACGCAGATTGCATTCAAGGAGCGCCGCACTAGGATAACAAGGGAGAGAGGTGGATGTGGATGTGGGGGCAAACAATGAGAACTAATAAAGCACTTAAGCGGATAGACGAGCAGCAACAAGGACAAGCAAAAGGACACTCAAGTGGAAGGCAGCTCACGGAGCAACAGCAGCATCAATCAAAAGCAGTTTTCAAGACCCACTGGGCGTATGATCAACGTGATTCAGATTGATAAACAGACAATGGAGGAATCGCCTCAAATGAGACGCGAAATTGGTCGAAGACGTCCCTTGCAGCTGCTGCTGCAGCAGCAGCAGCACGAGGAGGAGCAGCAGCAGGCGAGAATCCTTGAAGAGGATGATGCACGAGCTGCCACACCGCTGACAGCAAACGGTTGCACCACCACGGGCCTGACTGCTACCACCAACCAGAAGCAACAACCATCAACGGATATGCAACGAAACCACCTGCAAAAGATGCCAACGACAAGAACCACAGCAAGAGCAACAATAGAAAAACCAACGATAACAACCATCACAAAAACTCCAACTCCAGCAGCATCCTGCTGCCCGGAAACAGCACCAACTTCAAGATTAAACTCTGCCTGGACATTAAGGATATTAGCTAAGTGCGGCGGCAGCTTCCACTCCAGGCTGCTGCTGCTTCTCGGCTTATGCCTGGGCTTCCTGGTGGGTGGCGGCCAGGCAGGATTTGCCTGCCTCAGCAATCCCTGTGTGTTTGGCGTATGCATCGATGGCCTGAACAGGTGAGTTCACCCTCACTTGCACCCTGAACTTCTAAGCCAAAGACCTCTGGGGTATAGAGATGGTAAATCGAAAGGTAGCGTCGTGACTTCCGGGTATAGAGATGATGATTGTGTCTATATTGGAAAAATATATTATAGTTCTGCTTGACATTCACAACATAAAATAGCTAGCAATCCACCTATAGGTACAAGGAGTCGCTCTATAATAATTTTTTTTGGTAGATAATTTTTCAATTAATAATAACAATTGAAAACTAGAGACTATTAATGATTAAATATTCATTTAAAGTTGTTTTAGTACATGTACTGAGCAAAGGGGGTAACTATTTTCTGTTCACAACTAGAAAAACTTTATAAAATGCTAAAAAAAAAAAACAAATGATAAATCCTTAACTTAAAAAAAAGTTACCATAAACTAATAAACAAATATATTTAAACTAGTTAAAAATACTTGAGGAGACACGCTTCTACCCAATGGAGTAATCTGTGATCCTTTCCATCGATGCCACTCCTATTAGCATAAGTCGAATGAAACCTTTCAGCACTGATTATATATTCCAGATTACGTTTGCGATAGATCACGCTGCCATACCTCTTGGGCAGGGCAGGTGGTCATCTCTTGGCATATGCTTAAAATTGCATTTGATTTGGGGGTTGGGGCTCTGTGCACATTTTGTGCTTATTATCGCCAGGACAGACCCCGTCCAACACATTTCGAGTGGCAATAAACTTGCGCCACTTGAACATCCAGAAGGGGTACGGTTCCAGTTTCAATTCCCAGTCCCTGGCATCCCAAGCCTTCCGGTGGTGTATCCCATTTTGCCATAGCCTACTCGTACCATCCCTCGATGGCTGGACCAACATGTTGATGCCGCCACTTTGCAGGCAAATGAATTTCCCGCAGATATCCCCAACCCATGCCCATCTGCTGTGCAGCCCCAGGGTGCTGCCCACTCGCTCCTCCCTCCCATCCTTCACACTTTTTTAATGCATGCCCGTTTAAATGGGGTTAAGTTGCGGCCACTGCCGCAGTGTGTGGCATGGGGCACAGCGAGGGTAGGACAGCAGGACGTAGCAGCCGAGTGTGTTGAGTGGGTTTCAATTGCACGGAACTGGAAAATTATTAACTGGGCTGGACTGAGCCAAAGTGCATTCTTAATGCGGTAAATTTACTGCCAAGATATATGCCAAGCGATTCAGCCAAGTTTTCATTATTGGATTTTCTCTTTTCAAGTTGCGAAAAAAGTAAACGAAGTCAGGGAGATAAAGGAATGAATATAAGAGCTATGATCTGTATATTTGGGGTATTATCTTCACGAGGAATATATATTTCTAAACATTCCATAATATTACCTATAGATTCCATAAAGTTTGATTCACCCAAGTTTTCATTATTGGATTTTCTCTTTTCAAGTTGAGAAAAAAGTAAACGAAGTCAGGGAGATAAAGGAATGAATATGAGCGCTATTGAACTGTATATTTGGGGTATTATCATCATGAGGAATATATATTTCCAAATATTCCATAATATTACTTATAGATTCCATAAAGTTGGATTCAGCCAAGTTTTCATTATTGGACTTTCTCTTTTCAAGTTGAGAAAAAAGTAAATTAAGTCAGGCAGATAAAGGAATAAATATAAGAGCTATGATCTGTATATTTGAGGTATTATCTTCAAAAATTTATATATATATTTCCAAATATTTCATTATTGTATTACCTATAAAGTCCATAAAGTTTGAGTGTTCAAAACATTAATAAATGTATCTTTAAATTGTCTATGAAGAGTTAGGAAAATTTCAAAAAAATAAGAAATATATTTTTACAAAAACAATGCCTCAAAGAACCATCAACAAAAAATTGTCATGCTAGAAGAGAGACGCAATTTGTGTGCAAATTGCACTCCTTCCACTTTGCACTTTCCACTGTTCAAACTTCTTCCGGTTTTTCATCCACCAAGCAAATCCTTCAGGCAAAGGTAATCCACACAAATCTATTCGAAATAACACTCAAATCTTCATTTTACTTCAAATTCAAATCAGGAGAAACATTTCAAATTGCTGCACTTTAGCCATTCGACGGGGATGGGATGAGACTTTGAGGCTTAGCTGCCACACACCTCCGCCGCAGCTACTGACACATCCTTGCCACCAGCAACCACCACCTACTAAAGCCAATTGCACAAACAAGTTGGAAAGCAGAAGAGATGGAATGGGAGATGAAGCCAAGTAGTTCCGCATCTGTTCAGCGCCCTTCTCCATCTGTTTGGACCCATCCTTCCTCATGGACTGCCATCGCTCTTCTTGACGCCATTTATACGACTAAGTAACTGGCATTTTATTTTTCTATGCTCACTTCGCGATATATGCGACCGCTAATCCTGCAGCCACCCACCCACTAAAGGAAAAGTGGTTAAGATATGTATGTTGTTTTTTCTTTTCCAACGCAAAAGCTGCAAGTCAAATGCGAAATGCGAAGAGCAGAAAGAAGCTGGGGGGGAAAACTGTTTGCCGGGGCGTTTGCCTGCATTTCTTCCCAAGACGTTGGCTGGGTGGGGGGCAGCGAATGGATGGGAAAGTTTATGTGCTGGCAAGTGGAATTTATAGCTGCAATTAAATTTAACATGATACCATGAGATTTAAACGGATTAACTGAATAGTTTTCGACCAACTTCCTTCCAAGTTTCCAGACTGCCTTCCTCCTCGGGGGGAAAGACTAGAATCGCAGAGGAGCAGCTTCCCAGCCATTCCGTATCTGAGAACATTGATATTTTATTGGTTTATCTTGGTTTATGTGCACGATAAGCCTCGCTTTCAACTGTTTTATGAGCTGGCTCTTAAAACTGTAGCGAGTCCAAAAAGTCCAATAAAAGTTGAGACAAGCTTTAAGATTTGTTTAGCAAATTGCTCCAGCCATTAAGGGTACAGATTGGCAACGGTTTAGGGGATGTTTTAGCAAGTTGAAAACACTAATTAAAGAAGTTTCTTTAATGTGAAAGTTAGCTGAGATAAGTTTTCTAGTGGTTGCAACTCTCAAAAATTATGTACCACCTTCAGCAAGGATCCACGAGTAGATGCATCATTCAGACATTCAGATTAAGAATCACATTCGGCACAGGGAATCCCTAAGGTCCACGCTTAAATTCTGATTATTCCCTTTCTTGCCAAAATGCCAGAGAGTGATCCAAGTACAAGTCGAATGCCATTATATAGTCATTTCCCCAATTGTTCCTGCCAAGGCAACAAATCAAATGGTCTCCAGGGTGAAAATGTCGAGCCGAAGGCGGTAATCAGGCTGTATCCCTGGGGCTCTCCAGCCAGTCAGCCAGAGAGAACAACATACGAGTAGGAGTATGTATGTGCCTAGGTGCTTATCTCCATACTTAGCCCCAAAAACACACACACAGCCACAGCCAGAGACAACTGCACTGGCAGCCCGGTTGCCTTCTGCATCCTAATGTAATCCATTATAAAGGACAACAGCAGAGATCTCTCCAACCCATTTTGTTCAATCCCCACCTGTGCCCTGCTCACAGGTGGGGAAACTTCTTTAATTAAGCTGCTGTTGATGCTGCTCCTTGTGCTCCTCCTCCTGCTCCTCTGGCAGCATCCTGCCATGTTTTGCTTGTTTTGGCCCTAGTCTCTCGGCCACAGTGTTCCCCTGACACATTCTCTTTTTTTCTGTGCTCTTTGCATTTCCATTTCGAATCGGTTTTGCCAGTGGGTTAGGCAATGAAGTAGCACAAACAAAACAACAACAACAAAAAAAAAACAAACCAATCCCCCATGTCTACCAAATATTTATTTCCACTACTCAAGTGTAATGTGGCGCTGCCTCTCAAAGTTTATTGCACTCAAAAGGCTAAAGGATATGGATAGATAGGAGTATGTACTGTGTGCAATTCGGGTTATTGGTGGATCTATTTATAAAGAAAAAAAAAGCAGAGAAACAAGTACATGGAAATTGAAATGGAAGGAATATCCATTGAGTATACACAATATATTTCCTCTATGAATGACATTCAACAATGGCTCTTAGTTTTGATTATTGGTACTCTTTCCTGCAAGTGGAGATGGCAGCGTGACTAAAATCACAAAATCAAGCGATAGTTCTGCATAATTTTACTTCATATTTACTTAATATTTACTTCATCTTTTGCGCACAGTACCATACATATCTAGCCTGAAGCCTTAAATAGCTCCCAAGAGTATGCAATATCTAAATATAAAATGTAAGAAACATTCGCTGGATTCCGTGATCGTAATCCTCGCCGATAGACCTTTAAGCTCACGCTGCCATCTCTAGCCTGGACAGTGCCTTCACTTCAATTACTACAAACTGCCGTTATTGTCTGGGCGTGTTGTATACCGTAATACGCGTACATACGGATACGAGTACTTACTTCCATATATATCGTATATCGTTCCTGTTCTGTGTACTCCCCATATTGTGCCATTTGCTGAAAATATTTTTATCTAAAGCAAATTTTTTGTTGCTTTACTTTTTTACCTCTGACTCTCTTGCTCACTCATCCTCTCTCTCTCTCCCCTTTCTATATTTTTCCATGTCTTTTATGTGCGGGTGCTTTTTTCCCCAACGTTTGATGCATCATTGACACACCGTTCCGTTCCACCTACAAAAACAACAACAACAACAAAAAACAACACAAAAACATGGAACAAAAAAATGGGGGAACAAAAAAAAACTAACGTGTTCCGATAACAACAACGATAACAACAGCTCGTACTCGTGCTACTGCATTGATGGCTATACAGGGATCCAGTGCCAAACGAATTGGGATGAATGCTGGTCGGGGCCCTGTCAAAATGGCGGGACATGTGTGGACGGTGTGGCCTACTACAATTGTACGTGTCCGGAAGGATTTTCTGGTAAGTGTACTATATATATATATATATACTAAATACATACATATGCGGGGTGTGGTACATGAGGTTTATTTTTGGGAGCAGCAGCAACAGCAGCATCACCATGGAATATGGTGGGAAACCCAACAGAACTAAAACGCTGCAAAGCTCTGTGATAGAGGGTTACGAGGGCACGGGCAAGGTATACGGATTGAAGTGGGAGTGCTGAAGTTTTTTTCTCCTCCTGCAGTTCCACTTTTCCACGTGCAAAATGTATTTTTATTAAGCCAACATAAAAAACAAACCCAGGAGGAGTCTCTCTGGATCCGAGACACACACACAGACACACCGACAGACAGACAGATAGATGGGGGATACGCGTACTCCAGCAAATAGAGCGAAATTCCTGCTAGGACCTCTACATCCTGCCCGCAAACGTATTTGTAAAATTTACGCGGTGGGGTACGAGAAAAGGAAAATGTAGTGTAAAATAAAAATATAACATACAATGGCGAGTTTTTACTTATTTCTCCAGGACTTGCTCACACATGTCTATCTGTTTTTTTCTTTTTTAAGGCGTGCTCCAAAAGCGGGGGTGTAGACTGAAAGAGAGGGGGAACGGGGTCAAAAAAGGAGAACATCCAAAAGTACGGAAAGCAAACGAAAAGAAAATGGTGCACTCATTGAAGTGGAGATGCTTTTAATACCCTAACCTAAGCGATTGACCAGTGAATCGAAAGGGGTCTAGACGATTTGAGCGAAAGTTTTGAGCAATAAGACAAGAGCAAAATAATAAATAAAATAGATGCAAAAAATTAAGTAGTTTTCAATAGCTTAGGTAAGATACATATAATATTGTTTTTATTCTTTTACAAAAATACAATTACAGAACTCGATTATGTTTTGCATGTTTACTTTCATTATAATTACTATTACTATTATTTAACAGCTTAAAACGGTTTAATGATGAGATATGTGAATGGGAAAGGCAGCTTTGTCTTTAAATCTTTAAATAAGACAGAAATTGTATATTAAATATATAACTTAATATTTAATATTTGAAATAATTAATCTGAAACTTCTGGAAACATTTACATATTATTCACTTTAATATACATTTATCAATTTTAGAATCTTGTCTTAAAAATCTTATTTATAAAGGAGAAATAGGTAGGGATTATTTTTAAATTTGTATGTAACAACTGAGCTGTTGCAAAGTACTCGATTTCATGCAAAATGTTAAGACAGACGTCTTAAATGTAATCTAGTCATCATGCTTAAGCATTTCCCCCACAAAACTATAATTTCTATTCCACTTCGGGCTTCTATTTTGCCTGTCAGAAATGTCAATCAAATATTTACCCCTAAAATCCATTTCCCAAAAATATCAATATCCGTTAGAGGGTATCCGTAAATGGGAAAAAGTAGAAAAGAAAACAATCTACTCAGTGAGAGTAGATCTGCAGAGGCGTCAAAACGAAGAAATGGGAGAAGCACGAGAGCAGGAGATCCCATGGCTGGCAAACCAACTTTAATGTGGTCTATTGTGGTAGTCAATGTTGGGTGCTTAACTTGCCACTTGCCACTGCTGGCACAGCCACTGCTCCGAGCTCCGAGCTCCGTGCTCCGTGTGTGAGTGTTGGCCAAGTACGGAAGTCTAACCATGAATGTATCTAATGTTCATCCTTTTGGCTTCGTGTACTCGTACTTTCCTTCCCTCCCCTGCCACCCAACCCGCGTACACATAAACACATTTACTTATGCTACGTGTGAGAAGCACTTAGTGTCCGTTCGTGTCTCTCTTTTAGTTTCCTTTTTTCTCTCTTCGCTCCTCTTTGGCATCTCAGTGTGTGTGTGTGTGTGTTGGCCACAAAGTTGACTTTATAAAATTTAGTGAAATTTATAGCCAGCGTATAGGTGTGATATGTATCTGTATCTGTAGTCGCATCAACGCCAAACTAAAACCGAAATACAAATTGCAGCAAATTTGTTCTCAGAACTTTTCCTGATGAGTTCAACGGGGGAAAACCAGCTGAACAATCAGGCTAAAAGAGGTAAAAACAGACAGGGACAGTGTCTAAAAGATAAAAACAGACAGCATGGGGCGAGAAAAGTCATTGACTGACTCGTTTGGACCCAAAGAGTCTTGGGAATAAATTAAATATCAACGAATAAATGTAAGCTTAGCCCTCAACATGAGATACATGTGTTTTCCGGTCGATTGGTTGCATACATTTCAAATGGAAATAATGTGAAAGGAATGCCCAAGTTATTTAAAATGCCATTTTTAATTAAAAGCAGTTTTCAAATTAAAAGTCTGAATTTGGAATTTGTATTTTTTTTGCAGCTTTTGAGAAATATGAATATCAATTAAATCAAATTATTTTGGTTGAACGAAACGAATATTGAAGATTTATTTAATGAAATGAAAGCTAAGATGGATACAAAGGCAACCATTTTACGGGAGGCCATGTTTAAAATGAGCAATGAACACAAGATAGATATCTATTGATATCAGATTACCCAAATTACGCATACGACCCGTTTAACATATTCTTTCTGATCATTTTTCACCATTATGAACACTAATAATGTCATTATTTATTATTATTTAATTATTATCAAATATTCCACATGCCAAAAATCCCATTTAAATCCAAAAATATTATTCCCAAATATGACATCACTCATGCGACCGTTTAGCAAAGTTTTCTCGTTCCCCCCCAAAAACAGTTCAGAGAATCAGAAACAATTGCATTAATTTAGCATAAATACAGTAGAATAGAGAGCAGAGCAGAGCCGAGCAGAACGCACGGAAAACAAAGGCCCACAAAAGCATAAGCACTGCAAATGAAATCAACACAAAAACAAATAAAATTATGCACTGCAATCTCTCTGTGGAGTCCAGGCCCCTGATCTCCCCCCATAGCCATACAACTCTCCACCGATTTTCACAGAGGAAACTAAGCGATTCCATTGCAAATTGCTCTCCAAAAAAGCACGGAAAAAAGACAAATTCAAATGTAAATAAAGCACAAAAAATTGCATAACAAATTCAGAGCCACAAAAAAGAGAGGAAAAAGAAATATGCTTTTGGCAAGAATGGCCGCACAAAAAATTATATATATATATATACGTATATACAAAACACATATAAAATAAATAGATTTTTTACCAAAGGCACGCGAAATCGTCGGAAATGAAGCCATAAACTATGCAAAAAGTTCACGGAAAAATAAAATGCCATGAAACCAGAGAGGAAGTACAGCAGCCTTGGGCGGTTAAAACTTTAGATACCCTTGGAGATCTATGAGAATCTCATGGATTTCATGGAACAAGTTGCTCAGGAATGTATAAAAACATCAGCCACTACACTTTGATTTGTAGAACTAAACAAATTTTTACTGAAGAGATATAATTTTTTACCGATCTATTTTTATCGTTTATGTGGCAGTTTAGTCTATGGAAAATCTTAATCGAAAGAATTGATTCATAGGGTTCAAGGGGAACAAGTATTCTGGAACAGGACAAACTTTTATTAGCTCTCGATTTTTGTAGGTGTGTTTTTTTCCCAGCCTTCTCAAAACAGCTATACCCTCTACTAGGGTACAAAGAATTTAGTTAAAAAGAACACAAATTCAGCACAAATTTTGAAATGAAATGCACTGCATCAATGGTAGGTAAGGAGTTGTTGGAGGGGCGTAGGTTTTCCGAAAAGAAAACAAAGCGAAAGTAACGGATGCAAAGAGTTCTAAAGAGGAAAAGTGGGTGGGAAAATGGCACGGGGTTTTATAGGGGAACTCTGGGCGAGAGGATGGACAGACGCCTCGGGGCATTATTTAACCGCTCATTGAGTTTTGGAAAGCTTTCACCTTGGCAAAAACCTCACTTATTCCATCTCTTCTTCCGGTCCAATCCCCTTTTCGTGGGCATTAACAAAAAAATGTTCCAAATGCAAATGAAAGAGACCGCCAGTTAATGCTGGGGAGAGAAAGAGACAGCGGTATTCTAATTAATTTTATGAGCCACACCCCACCCCTCTGGCTATGGCTCTAACCTCTGCATTGCATTGCGCATATTTTTGGCAGGCCTTTCCCTTTTTTCGGGCTTTTTTTTTAAGGGTGGAGGCTCAACGTTTTATGCCTTTTGAAGTGGTTGCAGCTGGGCTGCAGGATATATAGAGAAATGTGGATCATGATTTTTCACTGTTCCACTTACCAATTCTTTGTGTTGCTTTTCTACGATTTCCTCTTTAAAGGTAAAAGTAGATCCTTTGATTTGGTTTTGGTGTATCTCCTTTTGGCAGCTATGACTGGGCTTTGGCCCAGTTAATTAGGCTGATTGAGAAGCTGAAATGGATACGAAATTAGAGGGATTAAAATTTAAAAATTATACGACAGATAAAAGGATATTAGAATGAAGGAAATAAAATAAATAATAATAAATATATAATTTCTAGCTACGCTTCGATATTAAAATATCGATATTTTTTATTTGTCGCGGTAAACTATGATCATATTTACTTTACAGAATCAGAATTCAGATGGATCAACCAATTTAAATACTCCTATGTGCTCGTTTTTTCACAGCTTAAAAATGTACTATGCCAAAATTTCATACGCTGAAAAATTCCATGGAAAGAAATAATTTTTTTGTCTAGACTGCATACATATTTACTCCCACCAGCATTGGTTTAAGTCTCCTTATTTGCGAAAACAACTGACTAATCGTACAGAAATCCACGCTAATCCGCTAGCTAATACCCGAGAATCTGTCTGCATCTGCTTGAATGCTGCCGCTTGTGATGTTCCCTTCAGTTATGGTATTCAAGATACCACATTGCAATGAAGACATTAACAATTGTACAGGCTCCCTCCACCAAGGCATTCGCAATCTTCTCTCCATGTAAGCCTGCAATCCCCAACAGCTTAACCTTGCTCTCCATGCTCTACATACGCAACACTCCCTGTGCAATCCAATAACAAAGCATGGGCATGCCTTTGTCCTATGGCTCCTTGGATGCTGGCCTTTATGCAATCATAGCAGCCGCCATTGAGAGGCGAAGGGAAACTGTAGGGATAGAGAGAGAACGAGAGACTGCAACGTGAAAACAATGCAATGGAGGAAGGTCCTTCCTGCGCCTATTCTCCATTGAAATTTCGCATTTCACATTCACGCAAATGCAGCAAATCAACAATAAAAAAATGAATAAAGGAATGGCTGTAAGTTTTTATACAAAGCGAAGAGGGGAATACTCTGCCAGAAGTGCAGAGAAGTGCTGATATAAAACTATGAGTTTGAGAGGGTTTTGAAAAGATATTAGGATATATGGATTGGAAGTTATATATGTATAAGCTATCCCAGAAATCTGTACCACACATTCTTTTGAGGGATCATTATAATTTCCCCATTCAATTTCGAAATACTGTATACATTTCTTGCCCAGCAAACATCCTCCCAAAGTTTTAATAACCTTTGAGTATAGAGTAATAATATGGAAATGCATTCAAATTGCAGCAAAATGCAGTTTGTGCCGCGTTTCGCTTTTTCTCTCATTTTTTTCTTTGCAATTTTTGCTCTGTTTTTTCCGCACTCACTTGATATTTTATCGTAATTTTCCTGGGCACTATAGTACACTTTTTTTTTTAGTAGCCTTGCTTCATCAGCGGCTTTTGAGCGGTGTGCGTGTGTGTGCATAAAATTTCACCGGTTCAGAAGGCGTCGGCTGTGTGTGTGTGTTCCTCCACATTTGATTGCACTTTTGCCACCGCCAATTCGAAATTTTGTGCACATTTTCATGTAGTCAGGGAGATACGCGTACATTCAATCAAGCATCAGGTTGCACATTCGCTGATTCATTCATTGATTTATGGCAGCTTCTTTAATCAGCATATGAAACTTAAATATTATATGCTCTTGCTCTTATGCCTTTGTAGAGGTTGCTTTCATTTTATTCCAAATTAAAGCAATGTGTAAAATTATAGAACTTCCCCAAAGGGTTAGTTTTGATAGGATCTACCTGATTTATTCACTTGAATAATTCCCCAATTTTAGTTGAAGCACAACAAATCGCCGAACATTCAATCACATGACTCAACGATTTGCATACATTTTTTATTTCAATTACCCCCAATTGAAATCACGAACCATTTATACACGAGTGTATTCTATATATAGAATCCGCATTTTCCATTTTCCAATCCGTATTGTCCTCATTCTAGAGTGCCGCGAACAGAGAGCTAATCAATGGCCCTTTGGGAATTAGTTTTGGTTCTCATTTTTGTTGTTTGTTTCCCTGTGTGTATTTGTTTGCAACAACAGCTTAAAATATTCATGATATTATTGATTTTATAATGGCAGTTAACAGCAACAGAGTTTGATGAACTTTTAAGAGCGTAACCACACACACACACACACACACACTTGGGTGGGCGTGGGTGAGATATTTTTAAATGGTTTATTATGGGTCCTGGGATTAGTCGTGTAATCAAATGCTATTAGGTTTCTTTTTATTTTTTCTGTGCAGCAGCTGTGATTAAAATGTTGAATGGCAAATTGTTTGGGCATAAAAAAATAAGTTCAATTGGTTTAAATTCACAAAAAAACATGAGTACATTCCTCAATTAAGAGATCTGCTGTAAGCTGTTAATATAATCTTTTTCATTCAGTTACAATATACAAAATAGCACAAAAATCACGTATTTAATGTTAAAGAAGTTGCAAGTCAGATTTAATATGGTCTGTAGCGGTGGCTTATTTTCAAAAGATGTTAGTATACTTAAACGAAGTAAAAACGATGAAATAGAAAATTTGGAGGTGATTTTCTTCGTTGTAATTTAATAGCTATAATTTCGGTTCTAAAATGGAGAGTAATTAATTCAAGCTTACATGCTAAGATCGATTACGAGCCGTGTGGATCGTAAGATCAATAACAGTGAGCGATAACAGTGAGCTGTGTCCGGGAGCGCACACAAGCTGTTAATGTAGAGCGGTAACAGAGATCTTTAACAGACTGTTAGCATTTGGTGTCAACTGCGCTGTTGCGCTGTGAGAGCTGCTGCCCTCAAAAAATATTAAGTTTACCAACCTTAGCCTACATATTAGTTACCCCACTCATACATTTAATTACCTTCAACCCCGTTCTACCCACCTTCTAAGCAAACAAGCTTTCTGTATCCCTGACAATATTTTCCGATTAAGGTCAAAGACAACCAACCAAAGAGCTCAAAGCATTGCCACTACACTTTATTTTTCTAGCGCCTTTTATCGATCTTTGGTTATCAACCAATGTGCCAGAAGTTCGTTAATTAATTGGTTCAAAGCACCAAAAAGGAAAAGCCCCCACATACTTATAGCAAATAAGGCGCACATGGTACATATGTACATGTATACAAACATACATACATACATATGTATGTACATATATCTTCATCCTTCGATTTTGTGCAATCTGAAAATGCGATTTTCGCACTCATAAATTTGCCCATTGAATTTTCAACACACAATACTTTCTAATTTTACGCAACGTTGCCGGAGCCAGACCATAGAAAATTGCCAGAAGAGAGGCTCCTTTATCCCACGTATCCCACCCAGCCCTCCGCCCACATTCAATGTAAAAGCCAAAGAAATTTCTCTGCAAGGTGAAAAATTCAATAGAATTCGGCTTTGGGGGTTGGGCTGCAAAACGAATGGGGAAAAACTGGAAATCAGTGCTGGGGAAATGTTGTACAAAATGCAATTAATTAAACGCGCTAATACATGAGCAGATGTACGTGTGAGGTTATGCAGCTCCTAGCCTTAAAATTGCCGTGAAAATGAGCTTCTCTTCTAGGTGCCCTAGCTGCCCCTTCCCTTGCCTTCGTTCTTATTGTCCTCTGCCAGTGGCAAGGTTTTCTCTTTGGCAGTAGCAAAAAAAAATAGAAAACACAAGAAGCGAAGGTTGTTATCGAGTGCCGAAACATAAGATACCCTAGATCAATTGTTCTTATAAAAGGTGTATAATTTAGTCATTTGATATTTTAGGGAAAATATAGAAAAATATAAGCTAAGTTCGATACTAAGGAACTAGTTTTGCTCTAATGATACGTCTTTTGAGTATATACTTCCCACCAAAATAATCAAACCCCCTTGTAGGGTATACAAAATGGAAACGTGGCAATTGAAAGAGCAACAATGCGCACCACAAGACATTCAAGTGCAGAGCTGAGACCCACCAATCCAATGCGAACCACCATTCACACCCACCTTAGATATGCGAATTCGAATTGGTGACTGGATCGCCGCTCCCGTCTGTGCACTAGCGGAGTGACATGAATGGCACAAGATTCTCGACTGCGGGCTGTGTGGATAGCTGAGTGAATGAATACCGTGATTAGTTTCTCCGTCGCATTTGAACGCAGCACGAGGCAGCATGAGGCATGCTGCAGCATCAGCAGGAGATGAACCCAAAGTGCATTTCATTGCTCACTGTCGCAGGTCCCAAGCAGCGATTTACGGCAATGGATTCCCAAAAGGAATAGCTGTCCAATCCAAAACCCCCCCAATTCAATGATAATAGATTGGCCCAGGCACTGGCTGAGATTAGTTTCGCATACAAATTGCCGAAGGGACGTGGCTCAAATTCCAACAAGCTAAATGGTATTCTTAGTGCTGTATAATTGAAGATTTCGAAATGAATAAACCAATATCCATTGTGCTTATTTTGGCGAAAGGTAACAAAAGTTGCAGCAAATGGGAATTCGTTGGGGATTTTAAATGTCGCTAAAATGGGTAGGGGATTAAAGCTATTGAAAATACTGAATTTATGCTCAGTCTTATATGCACTCGTAAACAAATGTTTCTAATATATCAGGGGGCTCGCATCGGGGTCGCTACATCGACTAGATTTAATTATTGAATGCCAGATTATGCGCTTATGACTATTGAAGTCAGAGGTGTTGAAAGCATTCATAAAAGAGGAAAAAAAATAAGTTTACAAAAATAACCAACATTAGGGAATCACAAAACCAATCAAGCTTAGCTACCTCCTTGAAATTCTCTTAAAACCATACCTTATATCCTCTATAATCCCGTGCAACATGTTCCTCTTCGATTCACCGTACTCAAAGGATTTTCCATTTTCCATTTCAAAGTAAAATTGTTGATTAAGCAAATCACACAATAACCGAACACGTATGCCCCTTTGTAGTGAAATCCCCCCTGCACGTAATTATGATTTAAGAATGGATCCTGATCTTTGTTTGGCACATGATGCAGTTTGCAGTTTGCAGTGCACTCATTCGTTCATTTATGCATTCATTCAAAGTTGCTTTCATCGGAAGAAAGGAAGGAAAAAATGCAGGAAAAATGT